CGAGTAAGGGAGTGAAAATAGACAAAAAAAAAAAAAAAAGACATTGTTTATCTGGTAGATGCTCAGAGGCATAGGTTGACCTGCTTATCAATGAAGTGGGAAGAAACACTTGAAGATTCCACTCCTGCCATTCCCTCTGGAACTGCTTGGGGAGAATACGTTAAGAAAACTCCACTCCTCTGGGTCAGGCGGTGGAGTGAGTTATGTGTTGGCTGGATTACATCTGTACAAGGAGGAGAGGGAAAACAAGGTTTTGGCAGGCAGAGCAGCCACAGCTGGAGATGGCTAGTGCTGAGTTAATGGGTTGCTTCTTCCTTGTATCAGGCTCCTAAAAAAAATATTAAATGGATTTTGCTGCAGAAGCTGCCTTATTCACCCCAGTGTGTGCTGAGGTTCACAAGACTCAGCCAAACCCACTGGCTATCTGAGCCAATGGTTGGCTCAAGAGAAATCTAGTGGTGCTAATTTCCATGCTAATTGCTCCTTTAAAAAAAAAAAGTGACCAATGGGATGAAGAATACAGTTTCAGGGTGATGGTACAATTGTAAACGTACCAAAGCAATTCTACAGTTAGGCGGGTACAAGAAAGAGTCCTAGGCTTCCATCTAGGGCAGTCATTCGGCCACCCAAGAACAGGTTGGGCAGTTCTGATTGCATCCTGGTTATATTTCCCTTGGATCCTCATGACAGAAAGGCACGGCAGCTCAGAACTGTGGGTCTTACTTTGCCTTTTGAAAATCCTGGGTTCAAGCCTGGCTTCTCTACTCAAAAGTATCAGATGATAGCAAAAGGATTCTGTCGGCCTGAGAGTGGTGAGCAATCCAGGTGAACTCCGCTAGTCTTGCTAGGCTAAGTCTGATACAAGTCCACTTCCTGCGATGTAGATCCAGACTGAAGAACATCTGACCCTTCATATGCTGTACTTCTGTTTCCCACTGTCCCTGAACAGTGGCCATTGCATTATATGACAACTCCAAATAGTTTCCCAGTCCAGTGCAGACTCCAAGTTTCCTTTATAAGAGTGTGATCTGGTAGGACCTAGGAGATGCGCCTTCTCTGTTGTAGCACCTGCCCTATGGGATGGACTACTCCCTTAGATTCAAAGGGCTTTGGCATTTCAGAAGACCATGAAACCTTGGCTCTTCCCCTTGGCACTGGACCAGGGCATTAGATGTTCTATAGAAGTTTGGTTGTATTGTGAGGTTGGATATGGTATCTTGGTTGTGGTATTATGATTATTTCAATCTGCCTTTGGTTCATTGATGGAGGTATTTATTATTACATTGTTTTTGTAGATGGTTGTTAGCTGCCCAGAGTTGGTATGTAAGATAGGTGGCCATATGCATTTTCTAAACAAATAAGTGGAGTGCCTTCCCTTTCTGATGGAGACCAACTCTATAAGCCATGATTTTCTCTACCAGGGTCCAACATCCATAAGTGGAGTGCCTTCCCTCTCTGATGGAGACTAGCCCTGAGCAATTTACAGTACCCCAACCTGAGTGCATCTCTGGCTCTCGGTGCACTCCTTAACATCTGGTTTTAATTTTAAGGAAATTAAAATGCTACTGTTTGGCAGGCTATGAAATGCAGGTAGCCTCTTGGTTCTTAGACAATCTTTGGAATGTTCCAGTTTGATTCCCAGAGGGAAGGGGCGGAGGTAGCTATTCTCATGAGTGCAAAAGGAGGCTCTTGAACATGTGACATCAGGCCTGCTATATTTGGGGGGGATGGATGACCGAACTCCACAACCCATTTGGATTCCAGTTGGACTTTGGTCTTCTAAAAATACCCCATTGACATTTTTCATCCTACTTCTGCTTCTCTAAGCTGGGTCCTTTAGCAGCAGAGGTGCAGGGCTGTTTGTCTGCAGTGTTATTATGCAGAAAGAGAGGAAACAGTCATGGCACTTTTTCTGCACACCAAGCACAATGTCCTCATCAATTACGGTTCAGGAATCACATCTCTTCAGCAGGCTGATCTTCACTCCGCTGTCGTTTTGCTCCGTTGTCTCCCCTGAAGCTTATTCTTTTAGAAGTGGCTGGGAAGAAACTGGGCAGAATTCCCACTCATTGCGATATTCTCCAGGGAAAGAGGGTGGGGAGGTGTCAGAACTGCAGCAAAGGTTCAAGTTCTGAAGACAGAGTAGGATTTTTTTCCCCTTACCATTATTTTGCAGTAGTACTGCAGTGATAATCCAAGGCCTTCAATTCCTTGGACAGCTGAAATAATTAATGATGAAAACTCTATTGTGGTTCTTGTTTTGGTCCAGGAAGTCAACCCTGACTCTTGGTGACCACAGGAAAAAATCCCTGCAGTTTTCTTGGCAGTGTTTTTCAGAAGTGGCTTGCTAGTGTCTTCTTCCTAGGGCTGAGTGTGTGTGACTGGCCCAGGTGGCTTTTGCACCTAAGATAGGACTAGAACTCATGGTCTCTTGATATCTAATGTAGTATCTTTAACCACCACACCAAACTGGCTCTGTCTGGAAGATCTAGGAAAGTAGAATTTGCACAAATCATCAATTAATGTTTGGAGGCAGGGCCTCAATTTCCAGTTCATCAATAGACAGCGAGCAGGTAATGCAGATGCTATGCAGAACAGGGGGTCTCTGCATGGGCCTGTTTAGATAACACTAAAATTCTCCAGGAGGTTTCAACCTGTGCAGCTATGCTGGCTTGGAATTCTGCCAATTCTAGTGCCATCTTCTCTGGGGGGATTGCCTAGAAATAGGAGGAAGTAGGCAAAGATAGTCTTATTTTCTTCTTTTTTTTTACAGATAGAAAAATGTCCACTTTTCTTACAGTTGGCCTTCTCCTACTCTTTGTCGTTGATTATGGGTCCTCCGAGAACTCCAGTACTCCACGAGGATGTGGACTGGATCTCCTTCCTCAATATGTTGACCTATGTGATCTGGATGCTATCTGGGGAATTGTCGTTGAGGCTGTGGCAGGTGCAGGAGTGTTGACCACATTGCTCCTCAAGTTGATCTTGCTGGCGAGGCTGCCCTTTATCAAAGGCAAAGAAAAAAGGAGCCCGTTAGGCATCCATTTCCTCTTCTTTTTAGGGACCTTGGCTCTTTTTGGCTTGGCATTTGCATTCATCATTGAGGAGGATGAGACCATCTGTTCCATCCGCAGGTTCTCCTGGGGAGTTCTCTTTGCACTGTGCTTCTCCTGTTTGCTCGCTCAAGCCTGGCGGCTCAGGAGACTCGTCCGCCACGGCAAAAGTCCATCTGGATGGCAGCTGTCTGGAATTGCTGTCTGTATTGCGTTAGTCCAGGTCATCATTGCAACAGAATGGCTGATACTGACCATCGTGAGGGATGGAAAGCCGGCCTGCCATTATGAGCCAATGGATTTTGCGATGGCTTCCATTTATGTGATGTTCTTGATGATGGTCGCCATGAGTTTGTCCTTCTTCACATTGTGTGGGAAATTTAAGAAGTGGAAGAAGAATGGGGTGTGCCTTGTCATCACCAGTTTTTTCTCAATCCTCATTTGGGTGGCTTGGCTAACTATGTACCTTTATGGTAACAAGGAACTGGGAAGAAGAGACCAGTGGCGGGATCCAACTCTTGCAGTGGCGCTGGTAGCCAATGGCTGGGTGTTTATAATCTTCTATGCCATCCCAGAGGTTCACTGCGCCATCCTGCCATCCCAACAAGAGAACACACCCAATTATTTTGATACTACACAACCACGAATGCGCGAAACTGCTTTTGAGGATGACCTCCAGCTTCCTCGAAGTTACATGGAAAATAAAGCTTTTTCGATGGATGAACATAATGCAGGTGAGTGTGTATTAACTCTAGTAATTATTTCCCAATGTACATCTACACATTAAATCGGTGTCCTCCTAGGTCGTCATAAGTAGTAATAATGTGGAATTATTCACCAAATAAAATTTGAGAATGGAATACTTTAAAGTAGCAATGACTCAAACAGGAACCACCCCAGAGGTTGATGGTGTCATGACAGCACAACTATAGTTTTGTCTGGTTAACATAATGCAGGTGAGTGTGTATTAACTCTAGTAATTATTTCCCAATGTACATCTACACATTAAATCAGTGTCCTCCTAGGTCGTCATAAGTAGTAATAATGTGGAATTATTCACCAAATAAAATTTGAGAATGGAATACTTTAAAG